ACCTTTGCCTTGCGCATTCCATTCCATCTCCTCCAATGTCGATGCAACACATGCACCAACACGATCAACAATGATATGCTCCACTTCATATCATCACATGATCATATTGGTTCATCGATCTTGACTCTACTTGCTCTTCACCGTTGCTATCGTTCATCGGCGCCAAGTCTTGCTCAAGCTTCACCGCCACGTGGTCCATCACTCCAAAGCCTTTGACTTGCCCTTCACGCTTGCAACCGGTCCATCAAGCCAAGTCTTGTCTTGATCTTCTCCACCTTGATCACATGACTCAATGTCATGTCTCATGTGTAATAAGCTCCTTCATCATCACATGTGTGAGCTTTGCAACATCTCCAAGCCATTTTCACCTCCATGGCATATGTTGCTCATACACATGGACCTGTGGACTAATCACCTGTGTATCTCACATAAACACAATTAGTCCACCTAGGTTGTCACTCAATTACCAAAACCAACAAGGACCTTTCAGGGACCCACTAGAGAAGCCCTCTGGTACTTTTGGAGTGCGTCTTTGGACCACTAGCCAACCCCTATTGAACGGGGCACGGGCCTCCACTCGGACTTACCCGATAGCAGCTCACTGGAAGTGTCACTGCTTGCGCCCACCGAGGGTAGCCTGGCATATTCCACCCCTCCTTTCGAGCGAAAAGGATGTGCGAGGGTCGCATAGAAAGCCAGGGGAACTCCTCACCACCCTCTCGCTCCGTGCGGAGGCTCAGGCGCTCTCCCTACAAACCTTGCCGAGACCCAGCGACCTAGGCTCACACTCGAGGGGGCTCGGCAAACAAACCCCTCCTTCCGAGCGAAAAGGATGCGTGAGGGCCATCAAAAAAGACAGGGAAACCACTGATCGCCCTCTCGCTCCGTGCGGAGTCTCGGGGGTTCTTCCTGTAACTAGGCCAAGTCCTAGCGACCAAAACTCGCATTTGCGGGCCTAGCAAACATGATAAAGCTCCTTGCTCAGCGGAGAAAAAAGCCCCTGGAAGAGTAAACCCACTCCTCCAGGCCTCTTGGAACTACACCAGGCCGGAGTGCCTCAGCAGCACCCACCGGAACCACCAAGTACAAAACATAATCCCGACGGAGCCACTTTGAGCCAAGACTTCGTCAAAACCTCAGGAAAGTGCCCGCACTCCTCCTGAGGCTCGGGGGCTACTGTCGGATACCACAAGAAGGGGTACCCTAAGCATAACCGAAAATATTGCTTAAACCTTACAAAAATCAAAACCAAAGGACAACCATGACTGTACAGCCACCACCTTGGTCCTGTCCATGGCCACCACCTCAGCCATGATGACATGGCCAAGGTAGTGGACCGACGAGGTAGCGAAAGAGCATTTGGACCTCTTGAGATGCAGCCGGTGCTCGCGGAGGACGTCTAGGACAGCGCGGAGATGCTGTAGGTGCTCGGTCCACATGGAACTGTATACGAGGATGTTGTCAAAGAAGACGAGGATGCTGTGTCATAGGAACGGCTTAAGGACGAGGTTCATGAGCGCCTGGAACATCGAAGGTGCGTTGGACAAGTCGAAAGGCATGACCAAGAACTCGAAGTGGCCGTGGTGTGTCCGGAACGCCATCTTTTCCACATCAGCGGGGTCGACGCGGACCTGGTGAAAACCTAAATGGAGGTCCAACTTGGTGAAAAATTTAGCGCCATGGAGCTCGTCCAGAAGCTCTTCAACGACCGGGATCGGAAACTTGTCTTTCACCGTCACGGCGTTGAGTGACCTGTAGTCGACACAGAAGCGCCAAGTCCCATCCTACTTCTTGACAAGCAATACCAGCGCGGAGAAGGGGGAAGTGCTGTCCTGTATGACTCCCTGCTGGAGCATCGCCTCGCACTGCTTCTCCAGCTCATCCTTCTGGAGGTGGGGATACCTGTAGGGGCAGACGGCGACAGGGTCAGTGTCGGGCTTCAAGTGTATCCGATGATCACAGGGGCGTGTGGGCGGAAGTCCAGTGGGCTCCGCAAACACGTTGGTGTAGGCGTCGAGGAGATGGTCCAGGAGGACTGGCTCCGCCCCCTTGTCAGTGAAGACGTGGCCGGAGAGTAGCTACTTGTCGGATACCACAAGAAGGGGTACCCTAAGCATAACCGAAAATATTGCTTAAACCTTGCAAAAATCAAAATCAAAGGACAACCACGAGGTCTCGTCCAATTCTCCGATTCGCCCGAGGCTTGCGCCGAGGCCTCAGACAAAAGGCCAAAGCCCTCCGCCCCGCCGAGGCCCTCTCGCCGAGGCCCCGCCCCGCAAGGCCTCGGACGGGATGCCAATTCTCCGATTTGCCCGAGGCTGGGCTCCACAACAACCTCGTCACCTCCACCCCGACCGGCTCCTCTGACAAAACGTCACGTCAAGGTTAATACGCCCAACTACTCCCGCAACGTCAGCCGCACACTGGCACAGTTCGGGCAGAACGACTGACGGGACAGGGGACCGGGCGCAGCAGGGGTTACTTGCTAGTGTGCTCATCACTACGCCCCCTGCTAACACCCGTACTGCCCTGTGCTACCTAACCCCTGCGCCAAGGACAAAGCAGCGTGGAAGGTCAAGTCCATGTCCCTGTAGTCTTGGAAACAACGGGAAAGCCCAACTGCTCGTCCTCCGCCTCGTTCGAGACCCCCCGGCAGGGCCTCGGACGTACTTTTCTTTCTCCGCTTCAGCCGAGGCCGGGCTCATCCCACATCCTCGTCGACTCTGCCTTAGCCGCTCCTCTGGCGAGCCGTCCCATCCGTGTAAGTGCGCCTGGTCACACCTACTACGACAGCCACGATGGGTAGGGTACAGCAACAGGGGCGATGGGACGGTGGTCAAATCTCCTTTTTTACCATCACCTACTGACGGTGCAGGGGTTACCGTGCCCTATGGACATCCGCTCTGCACTTTTCGACCTAGACCGGGTACGACGCGGACCGCCGAGACCCCCGTACCATACCTCAGTCACCTCCGAGGCCTCGGCAAAGCAGGCCTCGGCGCGATCAGCTACAGCACCCGCTAGGCCTCGGCGCTCCACCAAATCAAGAATCCACAAGGCACGGCATGTCTCCTGCCATGGAGGCCATACTAACTAGACATCAACAAGGACCTCCATGACCTCAACAACCTCAAGCCCGGCCAACACGGTGCATCAGTCAAGTACCAATCGCCATTCATAACACCATGCTGCTAGAGGACTGAACTACAGTAGGCTCCATGTGTAGCTCACTCATGTACTCCTTGCGGTTATAAAAGGAAGCAGCCAGGGATAGCCCTGGGGGGGACGAGAAAAAGAGACGGAAGAACCACGCTTTCACACACGCGCAAACAACACTCTGTAACACACGCTCCCCAAGCTGCCCGAGAGCAACGTCTCAAGCAGCCCGCGCCATTCCATGGCGAGACCTGGGACTAGCTCCCTCTCTCACCCAGCTTGTAACCCTCTACCACAAGCACTTCGATGCAAGGAATACAAGATCGATCTCTCAGACTGGACGTAGGGCGCCAATTGCCTGAACCAGTATAAACCTTGTGTCTCTTTGCATCACCATCCGGGATTAGGGGCACGCAGCTCAAATTCACTGGTTGGTTGAGGACCCCTCGATCCGAAACACCGACACTACTCAGCGCGACCCGCGCTTGGCGAGCCAATGCCCGTCCACATGATGTGGCGGCTACGGAGTATGAATGCCATGCGAAGACCCTCAAAGTCCCATAGGATTGGCCCCAGGGTCCGCAGCCAGGTGATCCCCAGGACCATGTCGTAGCACTCCAGTGGGATGGAGAAGCAGTCCACTGGGAAGACTTCATCACTGATCTCGAGCTTGGCGTTGCTGGCGAAACCACAGCACGCGACTTGGTCACTGTTCGCCACAACCATGTGTGCACCGTGGCTGTCCTAAAGCTGTAGGTCCGTGCGCCGAGCTGCCTCTGTGCTGATGAAGTTATGACTTGAACCAGAGTCCAGGAGCGTGGTGAACTGGTGCACGCCAATGTAGACGTGGAGCTGCATGGTCTTTTCGGCCTGAATGCCCGTGATGGCGGACAGAGAGATCATAGGTGCGTCGGGGTCGAATGGCGGTGCAGCCGGGTCGTCCTCCGTGTCATCCAGCTCCTCCATGATGTAATCTGAGGCCTCGAGGTAGAAGAGCCTGGCACACTTGTGCCCCCTTATGTATTGTTCATCGCAATTGTAGCATAAGCCCATCTTGCACCGTTCCGCCATCTCCTCCGGCGTGAGGCGCTTGAACGTGCGTGGCGCTGATGCCGAAGAAGTGGCGCTAGAGACGGCTTGTGCAGGCAGCGCGGCTGGTGCGCCAACAGGGCAGCGCGGCAAGCGCGATGCCGGCAAGGTAGGAGCCTGTGAGGCGTTGTAGTGCTCATAAGCGCGTGCAAGCCGCATGGCATGCTGCAGGTCATGTGGCTCAAGGAGCTCGATGTCGACGCGGATGTGTTCCGGTAGACCGCTAGTGAACAACCACGCCTTTTGCAGCATAGAGAGGTCACCGACGTGTGCGGCACAGGCTTGAAACTCCGCCATGTACGCGTCCACCAATCCTCCGAACGGCAGCTGCGCTAAGTCGGCAAGGTGGTTGGTGCCGAGGGCGGGGCCAAAGCACTGCTGACACATGCGACGGAAGTCCGGCCATGCGGGGCGGCCTATGTCGCCTTCCAAGGCGAGGTACCACTGTTGAGCCACGCCCGTGAGGTGATACGATGCAAGCCAGACCTTGTCCACTTCCCATGTCATCTGGCCACGGAAGAACTGCTCACACTTATTGAGCCAGCCGAGCAGGTCCTCTTTGCCGTCGTAGGTGGTGAATGTGAGTTTGTGGTACTTTGGTACAACCATGCCCTCCACCTCCGACGGTGATGGGATATGTGGCGGTGCCGAGGACATGTGCGACGTCGGTGCCGAGACGTAGGTCAGTCCTATAGATGGGAACACAGGCAGCGGTGACGGTGAGTGCGGGAAATTAATCTGGGTGATCGGCACACCCATTGACGGGGGTGGAGCAGGCGGCTGCGATCTGTGCACCGCTGGAGATGATAATGGCACCGACGGCGGTGGCACCACGGCGGATTCCGCGGATGCCGCAGCGACCTCGGAGATCACCGGAGCGGAGGCCGTAGGTAGGGCTGGGACCCCACCGAACCCTGGCAAGCCGAATTGCGGGAGCGCTGGCCGGTCGTCGATCACCGAAAGCCGGGCACCCTGGTCCACCAGGTGGTGGTTGACGACTGTCATCTGGAGTTGGAGGCCCACAATGGCCTGCGTCAGCGCCTGGAGCGCCTCCGTGGTCGACAAGGGTTGGGGCATGGATGGCACTGTGGGCACAAGGATGCCCGATGGTGCTCCCATCGGCAGCAACGCGGTGGATTGTGGCACGGCGAAGGTCGGCACGCCGGTCTTGGGAGCAGCGGATGAAGGAGAGACCTTCGCAGATGAGTCTCCGGATGTCGCCATGGTCATAAAAAAGAATTGTTTTTTGTGATCTGTGCCAACACATTTTAGTTATTTGCCTTTGTTCTTCTATAGATAAAAATTGTAATATGTTTATTGTGGTTTGTGCGAACACAAAAAACATTTTTGTCCTTGTTTTCTATAGAAAAAAATTGTTATTTGTGATTTGTGTCAACATATTTCAGTTTTAATTCTCTAGCATTAGGAGGGAATAGAGCTAGAGATTGGTGTTGTGCTCTAGCATTATGTCTAGTTATGGTCCATTTTGTGGCTAACATGTACTATAGTGGTGCATGAACTTGGTAATTTTTTTCATCTTGTCTTCGTAATCTCTGGGCCTGTTTCCTCTTTTTGTTGTTGGCATAAGCACATGTCACCCGTTGATATTTCATTGCTGAAGAAACTTACAGTATTGAAGCTTGTTCTCAAAACAAAATAAATACTTCTGCCATTACAGCTGTGGAGGAGCACAAGTGCCTGAACTCAGAGTTGTGGCATGCCTGTGCCGGCCCGCTTTGTTTCCTTGTCTGCTTTGACCCGCTGCTGCTATTTTTTCTGCTTTTTGGAGCTATTGCTCCCATTTTTTCTTTCTGTTTTTTGGTGTTGCTTGCTGCTTTTGCCTGCTACTACTGATGCTTGCTGCTACTGATGTTTGCTGATGCCTCTCTCTCTCTGTGTGTGTGGTTGTGGTTGCTGCTACTGATGTTTGCTGATGCCTCTCTTCCTTAATTGCTTCTTGTGAGTTCATTGATGTTGGATAATCATCACATCTACTTGTTGTGACATACATATTATTCTGCTTCATAAAAAAAGCAAGCAGCTGAGTACTTATATAGCTTTTTATCAGATTCTTCTTTTTTTATTGCATCATTGAATTGTGTTTCTTACCTCAAGTAGTTGATCAAACTCGACTGGTGCTTGTATTAGTTGCATAAGGGAAGCAATTGAAACCTGCAAGAAAATGAAGAAGCCATTAGTTCTCATTTATTTATTATCTGTGTCAACTGTTTTGAATTAGGAGTAATTTTACATCATTGTTGCTTTCTTCTTGGTGAATCATTTCCTCATAATTTTGAATCTGATATTGTGCCTCTGACATTTCCTGCTGCCTTGTTCTTCTTTCTAGATTCATGTTCTGTTATAACATCTAGATTTCATGTTTTGACAGTTAGAAGGTTTCTCATCATTACATATTCTATGCATCTAACACACACAAGGAGATTGGATTTAAATGATCGGTGTACTAACCTTGGCTATTGAGGTTTGTGGTTCTTCTTCGATCTGATCTCTGTCCCTTTGCCCTGCTTTGCGTGTACAAGTTGCATGAGCCGGATCTTTAAATTGTATACATGTATAGTATAATTGTATTAGCAGCAAGTACAAGTTGCACTATGTCAAATGTGCAATTTCCTTATTTTGTTCTGTAATTTAATTACAATAGTAATATAGCAAATGCATAAGAGATATATTTGTAATTTTAGTTGAGGATTAGTTGAGGATTGCTGAGTGATGTGGCTATGCTTGTCTTGTGCAAGAACAACACAGTAGTCCCAGCAGCAGCTTGGCTGTTGTTTTCAATTTGGCCCTGAGTTCTAGAAGCTACTGCTCTGCATCTTCGATTTTCCTAAGGAGTTGCTTGTTTGGTTTTTAGGTGTGCACCAGTACCTTAGTTGTAATTTTTCATCTCCTATGCAACTAGAGCTAGCTAACTAGTAGTTCTCTGATGAACAGGGACAAGATTTAGATTGGCTTGCTGATGTGCCTGGCTGTCACTAATTGCAGCCTTCTTTAAAAACGTGTGCTACCTTGTGCTAAAACACATGGCTTCTTCTCTCTTGGAAATCATGTGTTATGTAAGCAACCAATAACCATGTGCTAGCTTGCGCTAAAACACATGGTTTTTCCTCTGTTACAAATTGTGTGTTTTGTAGCTAGCAAACAACCATGTGTTATATTTTGTTAAAACACATTATTGTTGGGTAGACAGACTCAATAATTATGTCTTGTTTAAATCCAGGTATAAAGTTTTGAGATGTCATATCTGATGTTACATGGGATGCCGTGTGGGGTGTTCATATATTACTAAAAAAATAAATTATAGAATCCATCGGTAATTCGCGAGACGAATTTCTTAAGCCTAACTAATCCGTCATTAGCACATGTGTTACTATAGCACCACATTGTCAAATCCTAGACTAATTAGGCTTAAAATATTCGTCTCACAAATTAGTCGTAAACTATGTAATTAGTTATTTTTTAGTCTATATTTAATATTTCGTCCAAATATTTAATGGAACCTGGACTAAACTTTATACGGAGGAACTCAATAAGGCCCTAGGTGATTTTGGTTGGTGGAAAATAAGGATCGGGACAGGGAAACCCCTCCTTGGATATTGGGATAGGAATAATACCCTACCCTCATCAGACTCAGAGTGCGGATGCAGATAGAGACAGGTGACGTCGACAGCCACACTCAGGAGGACCTCCGGGGCAGCAGCCGTCGAGTTCCACTCCCACGCATCCGGCAGTCGGAGGCTCAGAACAAGATCCTCTGCAGTCGGCCTGGCTGACTGTTTTCTGCAGTCACAAATCTGTCCCGTCCATTTTTCATCCAACGGTGAGGCTTCAAAACTTCACGTTGGATAAGCACCGACAAAGACTCGGTCCATCTCATTTAAGATGACTTCGCTTTACGTCTTCCTCGCTTTCAGTAGGCCTTTTGGGGTGCGCGCGTGGCGAGCGGGGGGTGGTCTGCCGGCGGCACGGGTCAGCGTTTGCGTGGGAAGACAAAAGCCTATTCCTTGAGTCATCAGCGCTTTTCTGGCGCGGTCACCGCTGATCTCGCTAGTGTGCATGCGAAACGATTATGGGCGGAGCTCAAATTGCACCCCAAACGGGCGACGAGGACACAAGGGGTCGATGGATTTTTGGGCGTGTGTCACCGTCGATGTGTGGTGAAACGCTTCGCCCTCGAGCCACAAAGATACGCATTGACAAGCTCTCCACAACCTACACAGACGAGCTCAAATCTCCAGGAGACTGCAGTGAGGGGGCCGGTGATCTACATTCATGTTTGTTGCTAGCCGTGCTTGTGCCATTATAAGAGGATGAGTAGATGTATTTATGTATTTTAGAAATTATTTTCAAGAGGAAAAGGGAGTATATGACATGGTGACTTCATCAAGCTAGCGGCATAACAGAGCACGCGGCAGCCACGGCTGAGTCACGCTCGGCCCGGCATCGTGCATCTACAAAGCCACAAAGGCAACCAAACCACCCTCAACAAGTTGCAGACAGCGTCATTGCTGGGAACATTGAATCCTAAGGCTGGCGACGAGGTGAGGGAGGCTAATGCTAGAGCCTGGAGCACTGTGGTGAGGAGAGAGACAGACTGCATGTCGGCATCGGGCTCATCAGCGACGTGGGAGACAATGGCAGAGGGGAAAGAGATTGAAGACAAGTGCGATGTTTGGGCTGAGATGAGCCACTGGAACGGCCTGCTAGATGAGTTTAGTTGGGGTCACCGTTGGATCACGAGGAACGTCTCCGATGCGCCGACTGTAGAGATAAGTCGCTCTGCGCGACTGCAGATGATCTCATTCCGGAGGGTCGGAGCCACCCTCTCCTCGTTCGCGAGGACCATAGCCGTCGTCGTTGCCTAGTCGCCTCGCTCGCTCCCGCGGTAGTCGTCAGAGTTGCCGTCGCCTTGCTCGCCTCACACTCGCGTTGCTTGGGAATCAACGCTAGCAAACAGCATGTGCATCTATCTGTGTGGGCCGTGTGGCGCCGGTGGTCAACGCACAGGCATAGCCGAGCTGAGGGGACGGTAAAAATCACTCGTGTCACTAGTATATACTTCTTCACCCTTGCTTCCCTTTCCTATATGTTCGCCAAGTAAGAAAGAAGAATCACCCCGCCTCCCATTGATGCGCCGTCCTTTCCCATGTGAGCTAGCCAGTGTAGTTCGTGCACCCATGACCATGACCATGAGCTGGTTGTCCCACAGCACAGGTGCAGCTGCTCGAGTGCGCCGAGCCACCCGAGCACCTCGGCCCTCGATCGGGCACCTCACCGATCGGAGCCAATCGACGACGATAGTTGGTATATCTTCCTGAAGAATTAAACATGTGGCCCCAGCCCACCGACACAGAGGAGCAGACTGGTGAGCTTCTGTAGCCACTCGAGCTCCGGCGGTATCGAGGCGGTGAGCTTGTTCATGTGAACAAGCTAGGTAGCAGTTGCGCAGCTTGACGTGGCTGCGGAGTGCGATGGCTATGGGTAAGTAAAATACCAGAGACTGGAGGTTGATGAGGCTACCCAACTCCTCGAGGATGGGACCAGATAGCACTGTGGCCACGCCGCCAAAGACAGTCTCTTGTATGGGGCCGCCGAGTGAGACCGGGATGGGGACCGACAGCGTTGGGTTGCCGCCGTCGTGGTTCGTGGAACTGCTGGAACACGGTGAGTTATGCCCAACGACGCAGAGTGAAAAGATCAGAGGTGCCTTGCGTGGAACAGGCGTGTCCTATCATAGATCGTTGCGTATTAATTATTATATCTAGGACTTGAGTTCGATACACATGACTAATTACTAGTTGAGCTTAAAATTAACTCAAATTAGTTATGGCTAGATGAACACTTTTTGGCTAAAAAAATAGATGACATATTGGTGCTCCTGTTTAGATGCACTATAACTAATTTTTAGCTAGCTAGTGATTACCATTTGCATCCAAACATGCCCTTAAATAGAGCATATAAAATGGTATGACGAATAGGAGTACATGTATTTTTATACTCCCTCTACTCCATAAAAAGCGTTGTTATGCGATTTCGTACCGGTCAAACTTTACTAAGTTTTATTAAATTTATATAAAATATTAACAACATGTATATCTTAAATAAGTTTATTATGAAAATATAGTCAACACTCGTATCTCCAAATAAACTTATTATAAAGATAGATTCAATAATCTATCAAATGATACTAACCATGTATTATAAGT